CCAGAAATCTTCAATGTTCTACACAAGTAAAAGAAGAAATTGGGGGATAAGACATCAAACCTAGGGGCTTTCTTCTATCTTCGGTTTTTTCAATCAAGTGAGAATATAGAAATGTTATATTTTACTCTAAAAAAAAAAAAAATAGCATTTCTCTAAAATAGAGAATACATTAAAGAATAAATAGAGAATTGCTATTTTTTATTTTATTTTAGAGTATAATAATATAAAGAAATACATTAAAAATGGTCTTAGGTTCTACGACCGAGAAAATTTAAACAAAAGAAAAGATTTAGAAATCTATTTAATTAATGTAAAGGCCCATATATATACATAATTGTATATTGGGGCAATTACAAAAATGTCAACTTTTGTGTGCACATTTGGTGTGCCACTTAGGAGTGTCCATTTACAAAAATGCCACTAATTATAGATTTATAAAACCTATATCTTAAAATTTTAAACCTTAAAAAATATGTTGACACCTAAAATCTCCTAAACACTCAAAACTAAACCCTAATAGAACATAATTAACCCAAACATAAATAATATAAAGAAAATATAATTTTGAAAATGTGACATTTTTGTAAAGATTTCAAAAGTATGGTATTTTTTTAAAATGACACTTAAAAAATGGTATTTTTTGAAATTTATCTTGTATATATTGGCCTTGTACTTATAAAACTATTCTTTTTAAACCATCTTCTTTTTTTTGGTATTCATTTACGTCCATGTGATGAACATAACAAAAATGAAAAAATCTATATTAATGTTTTTTTTTCATTTTATCAGCATGTGATATTTATTGCAAATTTAACGTCTATATCATGATATTTTTTGTTGACTCATAATATTTTTTTTTTAAATAAGATTTATCAATTTTGGTTCTTTTTTCAAGCAAAAAAAATTAGATAGGATAAACCAACTTCTTTATTTGTTGATATATTTAAAACGATATAAATAATTAATATTGTTAAATTTTCATATTTTTCTTCAAATGTTAGGTCAAAAAAGGATATGATGATGCAAAAAAGGAATTATGAAAAAAGACAAACAAGAAAAAGTAGTTATAGTATAAATAATAATTTACGAATTTTGTTTGGATTTAAATTTACCACTCTATATATAGTTGTGGTTTAGAAATTTGTGTCCAAACACTCGCTTCCTCTCCAAATCGATCAAAACCCTAATTCAATCGCAACCACGGCGATCGGTAAAAGCATGGAAGGTACAATGGTGAAAAGCGTGGAAGGTACGATGGTGAGAGGCCACACCAATCAAGTCACTATACTATTAGTGTGTTTTATGAGTAAAAATGTAAAGAATCTATATTCTAATAACATTAGTAGAATTCAAAAAAAGAAAACCTTTTT